ATATATATATATATATATATATATATCATTGTTGCAAATATAAAATTTATCATAACGATAAAAAAAAATAAAGGTAAATATATAATTTTATTAGAAAAGTGGGTTGAATTATTTACAATGGTAATATCAGTAAAATAATATTAGCGTTTTATTCTTTCCATTTTCAAGTTTTATCATTTCATCATTTTCTCTTATTTACTTTCTAATATTTATATGTATTTTATTTATTTATTTATTTATTTATTTTAATATTTTATAAAATTATAATAATTTAAAATATGATCCTGATTTTGAGAAAAAAAATAAATAAAAGTGAGAAGATTAGTATAAAAATTTAAAAATATCATTAATAAATTATTTTAGAACTCGATTTTTAAAAAAAAAATATTTTTAACATTATATTAAAATTTTCAATTTAGTTGTCTTTGACTGAAAATATCTCTAGACGGCTCTGCAAATTGGTGTAAACTTGTGATAATGAGATTATTTGGTTTAGGTGAAAATCAAAGTTTACTTTGCAATAGAAAAAAGGCATTTGGCGATGAGCTTTTGAGTATAGGTTTAGCATCATATGATATGAGATGAGTATGACATTCTGTCTTGGCATTGTGGTGTGTCATCTCATAATCAATTTGTTTGACTATTGCAAAGTGGGAAACCAAGAACGTTGACAAAAACTGTTGAATCTGCGGCACTTGTCATGGTTTGACAACCCACTCAAACTTTTGTTAATGGCTGTGGTTGAATAAACATCTCAAACGGAACTCAAAACCTGTTTCAAACCAATTAAAGTGGCAACCTTGATGCACCCATTTTCTCATTCCTTCATATAGGGTCACATCTATGCATAAGAGTCATCCAGGGATAAAGAAAAAGACCACTATCTTAGAATAATGCCTTTTCAAAGTCTCAGCCTCAGCCTACGAAAAGGGATATCTTTTCGCTGTACACACGTGTGAACCATTGAAACCTTTTATAAAGTCATTTTTGACATTGATCATATCAAATTCCACACGCCATCAACCCAATATTTTGCTTTTGACCCTAATTAACCAAAATGTGGCTCTCATTTACCCCCGAGGAAATGGTACAGATCCTAAGAGAAAAAGGAAAAATGTTGTAGCAAATGGACAAGGTATTGCCTAGCTTTCTTCCACTAACTGAATATTAGTGGAAAAGCACCTAACCATAACCCACACTTACTTTCACATGTGGCAGTTAATTTGTGTCTTGAAATGGTGTCTCTCTGGAATAGATCCAAAAAGATACTTACAAACTCTTTTTAACATTTGAAAACAACAACAACAACTAAAAGGAGAAAAACGTACGCTGAAGTATCTTAGGAGATGAGGCAAATATAGAATATTGCTTAATGACTTAATGAGGGAGATAGAATAATTATTTAAAGTTAAACCAACTCAACTTGATACCACACGATTAACTTGTTTGTAACATGTATAGATAGAGTCGATTTTGATTTAATCGATGGGATCATGTAAGCATTATTGTGTCTTTAATTAATTTGTTGCCCAGCGAAACAATGTGTGATCTCCCATGTTTATGTAACATGAAAGAATTAAGAATTTAAGGCGATAGAAACCCTTTTTGGAAGAATGAATTGTTATAAGGACAAGTAGGCCACCTGATGCAGAAATATAGTTGACTTTATCAGATCCAGATAGGTCACAACCGACCCTAACTATGCAAAAATAGTTGACTTTGGGCTACTACGCAAAAAAGAAGTAGAAGACAAGCATATGCTATTATAGATATGCCGTGCATGAACCTATGATAGGGAACAAAAGCAAGTGCAACTAGATTTTGATTTGATATTTTTTTATGACCATCATCATAATCATTTTTTTAGTGATGCACATTTCAAGTTGACTTTCGAAACAACCCATTTTCGCCAACTCTTGTTATCAATGGAATTCACCTTTTCTGTAACATTTTTCCTCTTAACATATATATGGGTTACAAATTAACTAATCTTGTTTAAGGTTGCAACTCTCTCAACAAGTACGCAGATTTAACCATTATCTCAACCCATCTGTCCTTTTATGGCTCCATCTCGGTAACTTACAAATAGCCCACAGATTACCTTAGACCGCGGCTGCTCCAACGGGTTACAGTAAAATATAAGGAAATTGTGACCAACTTCTATTACTTTTGCAAACACGTGTAACCGGTTGCTGCGGTCACCAGTTGATAAAAAAAAATTAAAATTAAACTAAACGTCGTTGTTACGTAATTTCAGCTCTGTTAAGAATGTAGATAAAAATATATTTTATATTATTTGAGTTTAAATATTTTATTTTTTAGTTGTTATACATATTTTTTTGTTTATAGTATTTAATTCATAAATAAAAAATTCCCTCTTTTCTTTGCATAGGCTTTTTTTATCACATACTTTTGTTTTATTTTTCAACTTTTTCTTTTACATTATTTATCCTATCTTTTTTATATCTCTCTTATTCCTTCCTTCTAGATGTTTAGTATTCTTCTTTGTCACTTTTCCTTTGTTGAAAATTCCACCCTCCTTTATATTATACAGTGATTTAATTAAGTTTAATTAACCCATTTGTATATAGGCGCAAGCGAACAGAGTTGTCGTTTCTTTTGTCGGTCAAAACTTTTTCTATTATACAGCCTAGCCACTTTATCGTTCCCTACCTAACTGGCTACCATCTGATCCTCGACCATCAAATTAACAATTTAATTAAGTCAAATCACAATGCTCCATTCCATTTTGAGGTATATTAGGATAGATACAACGGAGAAATAAAAATTATTATTATAATAAATGTTGGAGATCGCAACTCATACTAATTATTTAATTAAAATATATAAAATAATAAATAAAAAATAATCCTCACTTAAAAAATCAATGTTATAAAGTTAAGTCATGCTCCTAATTAAATTCTTAAAATAATATTAAATTTATATATTTTAGTAACTCTCATTAGATGTATTATGTCACTAATTATAGATATATTTTTAGATCATCAATAAAATGTTTAGTCTTATAATTTTTATAATCAAAATGTGTAAATATGTGAGAAATGTGTTGAATATTTCACATATGTTAAATTAAAGGTTTAAATATGTTTTTAGTCCCTTAAATTTAAAATAAATTTATTTTTAGTTTTTTTTTAATTTAAAATTATTATTTTTAATTTTTGTAATTTTAAAAAAATTTATTTTAATTTTTATATTTAAATTTTGTTAAGAAATTTATCAAATATTATTATATAAAATCTATTAGTGTCCTTATTAATGAAAATATCATATTAAATCTAATTAATATTGTATAATTGTCTTAATTAATCATTTTCAAATATTTTATTGGTAACTTAGGGACTAAAATAATATTTTTAGAAATTACAGAAATTAGAAATAATAATTTTAAATTTGAAAGACTAAAAATATATTTAAATTTAAATTAAAATATATGATTTTTATTTTACAAGTTAATTTTATTGTGTAATTAAAAAAATAAAATAAAAATGATATTAAAGAAAAAGAAAATGCTTATTTATAACACTTTTAACTATTTATGCACTATGGTTTTTTCTTTTTCCTACTGTTGAGATACGATATAAACATAAATAAGTGTTGATCGTTGGTCACTTGAGACCTAAAGAAACATCGAGAGGCTGACAACTCTTGCAAGGTGTCCGCAGAGATGAAGTCCAATTTTGCTGTTATCGTAGTTTTCTCTCTTCTCCTGGTAACCTTTCTCTTATTTCGTTTCAACTTTTAGCAAATTCAAGCAGATATTAATCTTGTGTTTATCGAAGCTCTTAAAAGCGTTTTTTGTGAAAAGGTTGCCAACTTTGGTTGTGCAAGAAAAGACCTGGGAGCGTATTGGAAGAACATGATGAAGGGGCAAGCTATGCCACAAGCAATTAAAGACCTTGTTGAAGCATCAGATGCAGTCGATGCAGGGACCAAGAACCGTTTTGTTAGGGACTTTGATGTAAAGCCTAATGTCATATTATATCACACCCATGTTAAGTCCTCCAAGCAGAAGCAGAAGCTTTTTCTCAACAATAATCAAGATTGAAGCATATATATATATATATATATATATATAATGCCAGTGGTTGAACAAATATATAAAAAAGGATAGAGATAATATTATGCTGTATACTATCTTGTCTTGTTGGGTTAGTGATTAATTATCGTTTTGAATGAAGCTTATTTTGCATGCAGGAAAGCTTTTAATGTTTCCAAACCCGTATTTTTATTAGAAGCTTTAATCCTTTTTAATTAGTTACAGATATAGCTTTAATCTTTGTAGTTATATCCTTCATTTTCCTTCATCTGCTTTTGGTCCTGCTCAAATTTTAACAACAATTATGCTGTATCTTGTCACAGAATTGTTTTCTCTTCATATTCATAACCAACTTTTCGACTCCAAATTGTTGAGAATCCTCACAAAAGAAATTGTATACGTGGAGTACCTGGATGAGTTTCATAACAAAAATAATTATATATGATATCATCTTTTTTAAAATGTTAGACATACTCTTTTTAATTAGTTAATTTTAAAAAAAAAATTCAAAAGTTGATAAGTTTAGCGTTTTATTTAATAACTTTTTTTTATAAATTTTGATAAATTCTAAATTATAAGAGAGAGTATTTCAGAATGAATATGATAGAGAGTATGGTGCTTTTTCTCCTATTTCGTGCTCAAAGTAACAAACGAATGCGTTTTCATTGAAAATTTGGAAGCCATGATTAAAATGTGATCATAATTCAGAAAACTTCTTTTTACAGGAATAAAGCAAAAAACCAAACGTCATGCTATAGTAAAGTCTCTCTTGTTTTTAATTTTATTTTTTTTAATGAGAATGCAATTTAAACTTCAGAGGGCCAGTGTGGGTAACATGTCATGTTGCTGAATACGGGTATGACTAATATGAGTATTAAATACAACACGACACGTGGATACGATAATTATTTTTAGGAAATTACAGTTTATATTAATAGTGTTAATTATTTATATTGACTTGCCTATCATTACTAGTATTTAATTATCGTAGTCAAATCTGAATAGAAGTGTAGCGGTGGGATTAGATAGTTTTCGATCATAAGAAAAATATATACATTATCGTTAAATCATAAATGTAATTTTAATAATAACTATCATAAAATATATCAAAATAATTTCTGATTAGTTCTTCGAATTCAAATTATGATAATAAAATTGTATACTGTATTAGAATTAAAATATCCATATTCTACACGAGAAGATAGATATGTTTATTGGAATGCTAGTTTCCCTTTTAAATCAAACTTGATGCTGCGTGTAAAATCAACTCTCTTTCTTGTCTTCTCCCAGCTGGTGAGATATTTTACTTTTAAAAAATAAATAAATTTCTTTTCTGAATTAAAAAAAAATAACGAGATGTTTAATTGATCTATGAGATTGGTAGTTAATGTTAATTTGATAACTTCATCATCTCGTTATCTTTTTATTTAAAAAATAAAGAAGTAATCAAATTAAACATCAACTACCAATCACATAGATCGATTGATACAAAATATTTTAGTTCAGTTAATAATTTCAAACTCAAATACTAAATACATTAATTACTTTAAATATTTATAAATAAAATGAAAATAAATTAAATTAAATTTAAAAGAGAGAGAGAGAGTTTTGATGTTCATATAATATTTGTACACGACTAAAGTTGTCTTCGGTCTATAACAAAAATAAAATTAAACATGACACATTAAAATCGTCACATACTAACTTTGTCGATTATATCTAGTTTGAACATAATGCTTCCCTAAAAAAATACATGTGAACTATATATTAAACAAAATCATGTACCATAGCTTGCTCACAATACTTACGCTTAAAATAATCCTATTTACATATATATTTTTTAATTTTTAGTTTTTTGAACTTTTTATATATAAAATAAAAAATATCACAATAATTGAATAAATTATGTTATAATGATTATATTCATTTTTTAAATTTTAATTATTTGTTCCAAATTAAAATTTGTGATATACATGAAATTTTGATATATTATATGTTACTATAACTTATATTTATATTTTAATTTTGATAATATATATATATATATTATATTATAATGTTGATAAAAATTAATTTTTAGTAAAAAATATTGTGTTACATGTGACATTACATGATAATTTCTTTTATAGTGATTATATTTTTTTATAAATTATTAAACACTGTCAGTTAAATAAAAGCAAACAAAACTCCCTCACGTAACGGAAGTAAAATTAAGAGAGAAGGAGAAAAAGCGTAACTTTCTTCGCTAAATATTCACATAATTTGATTGATTCATTTAAATTCATGATCGGTTCATTTAAGTTTATGAGATCATGGTACAACAAGTAGCTAGCATTTTATAGGTAAAGTAATCTATACTTAATGGTTAAGTAATATAATAAAATATTACTACTATTATAATAAAGTAATCTAGACTTAATGGTTAAGTATTACCACGGTGCATTCAACATATATCCATGTTGAAGTGAGTGAATTTTTAAATATGAAGCTTTTTCAATAATATGATTGATTTAATAACCAACATATACCCATGTTGGTAACTTGGTATATCCCATGTCACGTCTTTTTGCTAGCACTAGCAGTCCAAATTAGAGAGCTTCGAAGTTGCAATACATTGATATACCTCTCTCTTGCTCTTCAATGGAGGTGTTGCCACCACACCCACATGAAACTACCAATTCTTTTGAAGTGACAGCTCTAGAAGATAATTGACATTGTAGCAGCCAAGGACGAGGGAAATTGAGGATTGAATACGTTCATTTTTATATGTTATACCGTGTGGTAATCGTGTTTCATAAATCATAATGTCTCAAGTCAACATAATAACATAAGCAGAAGAGAATATTCTTACTTGCTGTACAATAAGTTTTATATATATTATAACTCAACCTATACCCTAAACTAAAATTAATAACTTACGCAATAAAAATCGACATTTAAGATTATATTAATTATTAAAATAAATTATAATTAATTGATAATTAAGCTGCTAGTGTAGCTTAGTTTTGTCCTTATTATATTATTACATTAATTACGGTCATCTCCCTATATGAATAATTTTACTTTATTATAACTATTAGTAGTTATATATATATATATATATATATATATATATATATATATATATATATACTCTTTTAATGAACCATTTAGGAAAGCATTATTGACATCAATTTGTCTTATTGGCCAAGCTTTCGTAAGAGCAATAGATAGAATTATTTCGAAGATTGTGGAAGGAGTCACAGACCGATCTTATAATATAAATTAGGGGACGTATTGGATTAGGATTTTAAAAGACTTTTTTAGTTGAAAAAAGTCTTGTGAATTTTAAAAGACTTTGCAGAATTTTTATGACTTTTAAGATTTTATAGGATTCTGTAAGATTTTCAATAAGGATTTTAATAGATTTTGCAAGACTTTTAAGTTAAGATTTTAATGGATTTTGCAAAACTTTGTGAACTTTACAAAATTTCATAGATTTTTGACATATAATAAGAATTCAAGATTTTTTTCATACATTCAAATTTAAAAAGAGTCAAAGGCAAAAATAAAAATAAAAACAACAATATTTGAATAAATAATAATAATAATTTTCCATAATATCATATCCTTCTAAATAGCATTCGTCCACATATTCATAGCTATAATAGTCCTTTAAGCATTAACATCTTTTCACTCTTGCTTGTGAGTTTTAATAGTAGACTCAAAATTATGATTTTCATTAACTAGCAATGTTGAAGATGAAGGTTCATCCATCACTCCAATTGAAAATTCATCAGTAGAAATGATTTGGTAGCATAGCTATGGTGCTTCTGGTAAGTGAGCCTCTGAACCATCGTTGTTGTTGATGGGAGTGAAACCCTAGAATCACAAAATCGGAAACAGGAAATTGTGTGTGCGTGTGTGAGACCAGGCTTTGTCAGGACAATGTCGGATGCACCTCGAGCTGCATCAGTTGCATCTCCACTAGCATCATCCTGTGCCATAGTCGTCCTCGCGATCATAATCGCCATCGGGTTTTGGATTTGTTGAACCAACAACAAACGACACTACAAAAAATATGGAATTTAGCGACCACCAAAATCGGTCGCTAAATTGCTAAAATCGGTTGCTATTTACCTTAGCGACAGAGTTAGCGACCGAATTTAAGTAGTCGCTAAAACCTTGGTTGCAAAGCTGTTTAACGACAGAAAAATTTTTGGTCGTTGTTTAGCGAACAAAAATTTCGGTCGCAAAATGGTTGCAATGATTTTGGTCGCTGAAGTGTATGGGACCAAATTAGTACCGAATAAATCAGTCGCTAAATCGGTCGCTAAATATTTATTTTTTATTTTATTAAATTTTATAGACGTCGCAAATTTGGTCGCTACGAACCACTCATATTTGGCATCTCAAGGATTCTATTTCACAATACTTATTTTTTAACATGTTTTGTCCTTAACTACACAATTTTTGGAAACTTCCCAGAAGATCACTCATCCCTATATTACTCCAAATCAAGCACGTTTAACTGTGATGTTTTGATGAGATAAGCTACCGAAAAGTAGATGCATGTTGTTAGTATAAGTAATACACATTAATTCATTTAAGTCATCCTCAACTTTCCAATCTCATACTTATACTATCTTTGGACCCTTCTCACTTTGATGTATCCGGACCGTTAGAAATATATAATAATATATATAATAATTATATTATATTTAATTAATCTATATTTATATATACTTACTTTTATAATTAACAGTCTACTTATTTCTATTTAAAATTAATATTATGATACAATTTAAATTATTTAGGCTAAAAACCTATTTTGGTCCCTTATAATCTTTTTTTGTTTCAATGTAGTCACATTTTTATTTTTGGTCTCAATTTAGTCCCAAACTAATTAATTGGTTTCAATTTAGTCCTAATTTAATTAATTAGTTTCAATGTGGGACTTCCGTCCAAATTTCTTTAACGGTGTTAACTCTTGAGGACGTGGATGCCACGTAGATGCATACGTGAATGCCACGTAGATGAGAATTTTTTAGGCTAAAAACCTATTTTGGTCCCTTATAATCTTTTTTT